ATGTTTCTCGAATTCAAGGTTGTTTGTTTGTTTTTGACACGCGTTAGGCCTAAAAGAGGCGTGTCAGATCTGTTATAACATAAATTAATGTAATCAATAAATGCAAGGTTTGTAAAGTGAAGGATGTGTTATTCACCTTCTGAAAAAAAAAAAAAAAAACAGGCATCAAGAGGTTCTCTACACAAGGCTGCTATAAGTGGACAATACGAGACGGTTAAAATGCTTCTTGAAAGTGGTGAAGATGTGGATCAAAGAGATCAGGTTTTATTTCAGTCTTTTTTGTTACCCGGTTTAAGAACTTAAAAGGGTAATATGGACCTAACAGGAGAGATTTCGAAAATGATTTGATCAAAAAGTTAAACGCTAAAAGATTTTTAAAATACATTTAAAAAACATTTAAAAAAGTGAACGGCGTTTCGGCGCTACGTTACGCCATTATCAAGTTGAAAAGTGAAAAAGTATAAGGTGTAAAATGAATATATAAAATTTGAAATAATACATAAAATATTTGCGGGTCCAATGGGTATAATTCCCAAGGTAAGAAAAAAAATGTACGAAAGTGTCACGTAAATAGTTTGGCGCGAATGGAGTCGCCTTGTGTGTTAAGAGAAGGCTTGATGTCCTTTATGTATAACATCTCGTAGACTAAGCAATCAAACTTGCTGTTACATTTCTTCAGAACTTTGAAAAGATGGTCAACCTGTGTTCTGTTGTTGCCATGCTGTGTTTCAAGGTGTTTCCCGATGGCTAAAAAACGGTGTTCACTTATGCGTTGATGTAAGTGTCGGGCAGTGTAGCCGACATAATTTGCATCGCACAAATCACATTGAAATAAGTGTACAACGCATCGAGTGTTGACGATCGGGGGCTTGTTTGCCTTGACACTCATGAGGGTTTGTGAGTAGACAGTTTTCTGCTCGTAAAGACGGGTTTTTCGTTAACATCGATCTTGGCTCCCAGAATAGATATCTTTGCGTACGCGTAGAAATGCTCGAGCAAAGTGTTAAGCTCAGCCGGCTCATAATTTTCTATTTCATCAGTAGTTTCCTTATCTACGCACCAATTCTTCCAAACAGGAGCCAAAAGCCAGTGCTTTTCGCAGTGTTTTCGTTTTTAGAGCAGTTTTTCAGCTCCTCTACAGTTGTTTTGGTCGCAAAAGCAAAGGTGCTGCTTTTTTGCTCGAAACTGGTCAGGAGCGGATCCAGATTTTGCGCCATTTAGATGGCGCATTTGATTGGCTCTCAGTAATTTCCTTTGTTTATTAACCAATCAGAATGTCACGTTTTTTACTGTTTTCTGCACTCAATTACCTTTTTTCTGCACCTTGTTACCTAAAAACTGCATTTGTCTTAGCCAATCACAATCGAGAAATTTTTTCATGTATATAGTTCAATAAAAGCCTTTAATTTTATTTTATGCATGACCATCATTATTGCTGGACAAGCTAACTTCTTTCACCCTTTTCTAATTGATTTTTCCCCTCCCTATTTCTGTAGTTTTCTCTGACTCCTCTTCATCTTGCCTGTTGGTATGGACAGGAATCTGTTGTCCGGTTGTTACTAGAGCATGGTGCGAACGTCAAAGCTGAAGACAGGGTTAGTTAGTGAGTTTTTTTTCCATTGAAAAATGATAGGGAGCATTATATGAAGGAAGATCATCGCAGTTATATACGCAATTTTTGCAGTTGCAAAAAGAAAGCCTGAAAAAAAGTCAGGCTTTTACGGGATTCGAACCCTTGACCTCTGTGATACCGGTGCAGGGCTCTACCAATTAAGCTAACAAGCCAACTTGGAGCAGGTCGTTGAATTGGTTCGTTATAAACTCGTGAAAGGATGATGATGAAGTTACGAAAATATGAAAATCATATATTCATAACTTCACTGATAGCGAGCGTAAGCAACAACGACGGCGACGTCAACGAGAGCGGCAAAAAAGCAAAAGGTTTATTAAGCAAATCATAGCCTCTGGGAGGAGATGTTTTAAGCAATTAATTTAGCTCACGCTACAAAACGTACTCTGCTTAAATGTTTTTAGTTTCAACGTACACCTCTTCAAAAAGCTGAAAGTCAAAACCACCATTCCATAGTGAAGTTGCTGCTGAAGAATGACGCTAGGCCAAGTCTTCATCAACCAGTAAGATATCAGATTTTGTCAGTCTCCCCTAATCCATTTTGCCAAACGTTGTCTTTCAGATGGAGTTCTACCTAATTTGTTTAACGTTACCTATACATCATCGTACGAGTCGCTTCTATCTTTTAGATACCTTATATTTGTTGGTATTTATGGAATTACTTACCCGGGAACCTTAGAACTGAAGACCTAAGCCTGTCTTTCATCAAAAAACGTTGCGGAGATTTTTACAAAAAAATAGCCTGCGAGCAAGCTCTCCGGTGCACTCTGGCGGCTGGGCGGTAAAGGAAGAAGAACTTGCAACTACGTCTCTGGAATTTGAATATCTGCCTCGAAAAATTCGATGCGAAATGCTGATTGGCGGAGGTGACATTCGTAATGACGTCATTGCCCTTGGCACTTGTTTTTGAATGTTTGTTTACATTCGCGCTCGTTTCCGCTTCGCGCTTATTGGCGGAAATCTGACAGCTCAGTCGACGGGGAGCCACAGGGAAATTGGAGGTGGAATTCAAATTCCAAAAACGTAGTTGCGAGCTCTCCTTGCTTTTCCTGCCCCGCCGCCAGAGCGCCCCGGACAGCTTGCTCGCACGCTACAAAAAATAAGATCAGGAAGGTTGATTCTTATCGCCCACATGTTACCTGGGCATAAAAATCATAGCGTAGTCTCAAACCATAATTATCAGTTTATATGTGTTACTTTTTGTGACAACTTTTTTTTCTTTTCCGTTTTTTTTTTACATTGTAAGTGTTATATTTCAATTGAGTCAGGATTAGCTCGTATGGTTCTTGTGTTCTAAACTAGTCGTTCCCCGTTGCTCTCCACGTGTATGCAGTGAAAATCGATTAAATTCAAATTAAAAATTTTAAAATCTAATTCAAATTAAAATGTGTCTATTTGCGATACACGGGAACACCATTACTGAACTCTGAAGTTCAAAAACCGCCTTCACAATTAAGTTTTTCGCTGCCGTCAATCATAATTCCAATCACAAGCAACGACCTTGAATCACAGAAATATACAGTCTCGTACCCAGGCCAGTTCGCGCTATCCGAGTTACCAGAGGAGGCTTAGTGTCTCCAGTATTTATGCTGGCTGCATGAGGTTGGGTAAAAGTCGGGATTTGAGGATTGGCAACTCTGTAAGTTCGCCCACGAAAATTTAAACAATGGCGCGGCATATTGTTCGAGGTGACACTTGATCTAGAAATTCGTGTCCACCATCAATCCACGTGCTGCGCGCGCATAAACTTATAAACCTCGGCTTAGCAGAAATGTTGAACTTCCCCGCGCGTAAAATCCATTTTTAGTTGTACCCACTATCTGTCTTCTCATTGGCTAAGAGCCTACAGCAAATTTTGGAAATCAGCGCAACCTAGTTAATCCGTAGGTTGTGTGTGCAATGCATAATTCCTAATAACAGTATCAATTCAAGTTTCTTGCAACGGTGTATTTGTCGTTATTTTCTTCAAAACGATGTATTAAAATAAAAAAAGAACAATTATTATAAGGTTTTTGTGATATCCTAAATAATCTAAGTCTCGGTAAGTGTTACCAGCCTCGACCTTCGCTCGGATGATAACACTTACCTCAACCTTGATTATTGCGGATATCACAAAAACCTCGTTGAGCGTTTTTGTCCTTACAAAATTCGTGTCCACCCTCAATCCACGTGCTGCGCGCCTATGAACTTATAAATCTCGGCTTTGCAGAAATGTTCAACTTCCCCGCGCGTAAAAGCCATCATTATACATTGTGCCCACTATCTGTCTTCTCTCTGGCTAAGAGCCTGAAGCAAATTTTGGAAATCAGCGCAACCTAGTTAATCTGTAGGTTGCGCGCACAGTGCATGATTTCCAATAACAGTATTAATTCAAGTTTCTTGCGATGAAGTATTTGTCGTTATTTTCTTCCAAACGATGTATTAGAAACACAATTATTATTAGGTTTTTGTGATATCCTAAATAATCAAGGTTTCCGTAATTGTTACCAGCCTCGACCTTCGGCTCGGCTGATAACACTTACCTCGACCTTGATTATTGCGGATATCACAAAAAACTTGTCTGATAATTGATTATTACTTTACGTTGAGCGTTTTGTTCTTACAATTTATTAACTTTCTCCGGAACGATTAGATAAACAATAACTAAAAAGGTAAGTCCCACGCCAAAAGTTAAGCTAGAATAGAGCATACATGAATACACAACATACAGGCGGGGACACCGCAAAAGCGAGGGCCAATTACTGCGAGCTCAGGACACAGACACAAGGTATAGGTACGATGAACGAGAACCATAAAAACAATACCTATGTTTCTCGAATTCAAGTTTGTTTGTTTGTTTTTGACACGAGTTAGGCCTAGAAGAGGCGTGTCAGATCTGTTATAACATAAATTAATGTAATCAATAAATGCAAGGTATGTAGACTGATGGATATGTTATTCACCTTCTGAAAAAAAAAAAAAAAAACAGGCATCAAGAGGTTCTCTACACAAGGCTGCTATAAGTGGACAATACGAGACGGTTAAAATGCTTCTTGAAAGTGGTGAAGATGTGGATCAAAGAGATCAGGTTTTATTTCAGTCTTTTTTGTTACCCGGTTTAAGAACTTAAAAGGGTAATATGGACCTAACAGGAGAGATTTCGAAAATGATTTGATCAAAAAGTTAAACGCTAAAAGATTTTTAAAATACATTTAAAAAACATTTAAAAAAGTGAACGGCGTTTCGGCGCTACGTTACGCCATTATCAAGTTGAAAAGTGAAAAAGTATAAGGTGTAAAATGAATATATAAAATTTGAAATAATACATAAAATATTTGCGGGTCCAATGGGTATAATTCCCAAGGTAAGAAAAAAAAAATGTACGAAAGTGTCACGTAAATAGTTTGGCGCGAATGGAGTCGCCTTGTGTGTTAAGAGAAGGCTTGATGTCCTTTATGTATAACATCTCGTAGACTAAGCAATCAAACTTGCTGTTACATTTCTTCAGAACTTTGAAAAGATGGTCAACCTGTGTTCTGTTGTTGCCATGCTGTGTTTCAAGGTGTTTCCCGATGGCTAAAAAACGGTGTTCACTTATGCGTTGATGTAAGTGTCGGGCAGTGTAGCCGACATAATTTGCATCGCACAAATCACATTGAAATAAGTGTACAACGCATCGAGTGTTGACGATCGGGGGCTTGTTTGCCTTGACACTCATGAGGGTTTGTGAGTAGACAGTTTTCTGCTCGTAAAGACGGGTTTTTCGTTAACATCGATCTTGGCTCCCAGAATAGATATCTTTGCGTACGCGTAGAAATGCTCGAGCAAAGTGTTAAGCTCAGCCGGCTCATAATTTTCTATTTCATCAGTAGTTTCCTTATCTACGCACCAATTCTTCCAAACAGGAGCCAAAAGCCAGTGCTTTTCGCAGTGTTTTCGTTTTTAGAGCAGTTTTTCAGCTCCTCTACAGTTGTTTTGGTCGCAAAAGCAAAGGTGCTGCTTTTTTGCTCGAAACTGGTCAGGAGCGGATCCAGATTTTGCGCCATTTAGATGGCGCATTTGATTGGCTCTCAGTAATTTCCTTTGTTTATTAACCAATCAGAATGTCACGTTTTTTACTGTTTTCTGCACTCAATTACCTTTTTTCTGCACCTTGTTACCTAAAAACTGCATTTGTCTTAGCCAATCACAATCGAGAAATTTTTTCATGTATATAGTTCAATAAAAGCCTTTAATTTTATTTTATGCATGACCATCATTATTGCTGGACAAGCTAACTTCTTTCACCCTTTTCTAATTGATTTTTCCCCTCCCTATTTCTGTAGTTTTCTCTGACTCCTCTTCATCTTGCCTGTTGGTATGGACAGGAATCTGTTGTCCGGTTGTTACTAGAGCATGGTGCGAACGTCAAAGCTGAAGACAGGGTTAGTTAGTGAGTTTTTTTTCCATTGAAAAATGATAGGGAGCATTATATGAAGGAACATCATCGCAGTTACGTACGCAACTTTTGCAGTTGCAGAAAGAAAGCCTAAAAAAAAAAAAGTCAGGCTTATACGGGATTCGAACCTTTGACCTCTGCGATACCGGTGCAGCGCTCTACCAATTAAGCTGACAAGCCAACTTGGAGCAGGTCGTTGAATTGGTTCGTTATAAACTCGTGAAAGGATGATGATGAAGTTACGAAAATATGAAAATCATATATTCATAACTTCACTGATAGCGAGCGTAAGCAACAACGACGGCGACGTCAACGAGAGCGGCAAAAAAGCAAAAGGTTTATTAAGCAAATCATAGCCTCTGGGAGGAGATGTTTTAAGCAATTAATTTAGCTCACGCTACAAAACGTACTCTGCTTAAATGTTTTTAGTGTCAACGTACACCTCTTCAAAAAGCTGAAAGTCAAAACCACCATTCCATAGTGCAGTTGCTGCTGAAGAATGACGCTAGGCCAAGTCTTCATCAACCAGTAAGATATCAGATTTTGTCAGTCTCCCCTAATCCATTTTGCCAAACGTTGTCTTTCAGATGGAGTTCTACCTAATTTGTTTAACGTTACCTATACATCATCGTACGAGTCGCTTCTATCTTTTAGATACCTTATATTTGTTGTTATTTATGGAATTACTTACCCGGGAACCTTAGAACTGAAGACCTAAGCCTGTCTTTCATCAAAAAACGTTGCCGAGATTTTTACAAAAAAATAGCCTGCGAGCAAGCTCTCCGGAGCACTCTGGCGGCTGGGCGGTAAAGAAAGAAGAGCTTGCAACTACGTCTCTGGAATTTGAATATCTGCATCGAAAAATTCGATGCGAAATGCTGATTGGCGGAGGTGACATTCGTAATGACGTCATTGCCCTTGGCACTTGTTTTTGAATGTTTGTTTACATTCGCGCTCGTTTCCGCTTCGCGCTTATTGGCGGAAATCTGACAGCTCAGTCGACGGGGAGCCACAGGAAAATTGGAGGTGGAATTCAAATTCCAAAAACGTAGTTGCGAGCTCTCCTTACTTTTCCTGCGCCGCCGCCAGAGCGCCCCGGAGAGCTTGCTGGCACGCTACAAAAAATAAGATTAGGGAGGTTGATTCTTATCGCCCACATGTTACCTGGGCATAAAAATCATAGCGTAGTCTCAAACCATAATTATCAGTTTATATGTGTTACTTTTTGTGACAACTTTTTTTTCTTTTCCGTTTTTTTTTTACATTGTAAGTGTTATATTTCAATTGAGTCAGGATTAGCTCTTATAGTTCTTGTGTTCTAAACTAGTCGTTCCCCGTTGCCCTCCACGTGTATGCAGTGAAAATCGATTAAATTCAAATTAAAAATTTTAAAATCTAATTCAAATTAAAATGTGTCTATTTGCGATACACGGGAACACCATTACTGCGTTTTTCAAAAACACGCGAACTCTGAAGTTCAAAAGCCGCCTTCACAATTAAGTTTTTTGCTGCCGTCAATCTTAATTAATCCAATTAATAACGCATTAATGAATAGCAGCTGAGGTTAAGTAAATCGGAAAACGCTTGTTTTAAATACTCTGAAGTCTCTTTTCAAGGATTTTCGAATTTTAAACGGTTCTGACGCTAAATCTTATTCCATGTTTTAGTGCTGCCCGTGATTTCACATTGAAGTATATTGCTTGCATATTCTAAATTTGGTCAGCGCCAGCTGGTTACGAAGAAGTAGTCGGGAGATTAAAGCCACTCAAAAACGGCGAAATGTTTTGAATGAATAACAAATTTGTTTAATCATCCTAGGGTAAGAAGCAGGTCCTGACCCATATAGAGAGAGCTGAGAAAGCAAAAGTAAGTTGAATGGCATATTTATTGTAGTGTGCGCACGTTGTCCATCTAATCAAGGGAAACAAATATGAAAACTTTAATCAATGAAAGGTTTAGAAATTCCATATTATTAACGAGTTTCTCATAGCACAGTTTTAATTATGAGTGGCAGCATTGTCATTTACTGTAAACAACAGCGAGCGCCCTTACAGTAGGACGACATGAGGGGCTTTTCACAGGATTGATGTGTTATTAGTGTCTCCAGTATTTATGCTGGCTGCATGAGGCTGGGTAAAAGTCGGGATTTGAGGATTGGCAACTCTGTAAGTTCGACCACGAAAATTTAAACAATGGCGCGGCATATTGTTCGAGGTGACACTTGATCTAGAAATTCGTGTCCACCATCAATCCACGTGCTGCGCGCGCATAAACTTATAAACCTCTGCTTAGCAGAAATGTTGAACTTTCCCGCGCGTAAAATCCATTATTAGTTGTACCCACTATCTGTCTCCTCATTGGCTAAGAGCCTACAGCAAATTTTGGAAATCAGCACAACCTAGTTAATCTGTAGGTTGTGCGCGCAATGCATAATTTCCAATAACAGTATCAATTCAAGTTTCTTGCAACGGTGTATTTGTCGTTATTTTCTTCAAAACGATGTATTAAAATAATAATAAAAAAAGAACAATTATTATAAGGTTTTTGTCATATCCTAAATAATCTAGGTCTCGGTTAGTGTTACCAGCCTCGACCTTCGGCTCGGATGATAACACTTACCTCAACCTTGATTATTGCGGATATCACAAAAACCTCGTTGAGCGTTTTTGTCCTTACAAAATTCGTGTCCACCCTCAATCCACGTGCTGCCAGCGTATGAACTTATAAATCTCGGCTTTGCAGAAATGTTCAACTTCCCCGGGCGTAAAAGCCATCATTATACATTGTACCCACTATCTGTCTTCTCTCTGGCTAAGAGCCTGCAGCAAATTTTGGAAATCAGCGCAACCTAGTTAATCTGTAGGTTGCGCGCGCAATGCATGATTTCCAATAACAGTATTAATTCAAGTTTCTTGCGATGAAGTATTTGTCGTTATTTTGTTACCAGCCTCGACCTTCGGCTCGGCTGATAACACTTACCTCGACCTTGATTATTGCGGATATCACAAAAAACTTGTCTGATAATTGATTATTACTTTACGTTGAGCGTTTTTGTTCTTACAATTTATTAACTTTCTCCGGAACGATTAGATAAACAATAACTAAAGGTAAGTCCCACGCCAAAAGTTAAACTAGAATATAGCATACATGAATACACAACATACAGGCGGGGACACCGCAAAAGCGAGGGCCAATTACTGCGAGCTCAGGACACAGACACAAGGCATAGGTGCGATGAACGAGAACCATAAAAACAATACCTGTGTTTCAAGAATTCAAGTTTGTTTGTTTGTTTTTGACACGAGTTAGGCCTAGAAGAGGCGTGTCAGATCTGTTAAAACATAAGTTAATGTAATCAATAAATGCAAGGTATGTACACTGATGGATATGTTATTCACCTTCTGAAAAAAAAAAAAAAAACAGGCATCAAGAGGTTCTCTACACAAGGCTGCTATAAGTGGACAATACGAGACGGTTAAAATGCTTCTTGAAAGTGGTGAAGATGTGGATCAAAGAGATCAGGTTTTATTTCAGTCTTTTTTGTTACCCGGTTTAAGAACTTAAAAGGGTAATATGGACCTAACAGGAGAGATTTCGAAAATGATTTGATCAAAAAGTTAAACGCTAAAAGATTTTTAAAATACATTTAAAAAACATTTAAAAAAGTGAACGGCGTTTCGGCGCTACGTTACGCCATTATCAAGTTGAAAAGTGAAAAAGTATAAGGTGTAAAATGAGTATATAAAATTTGAAATAATACATAAGGTAAGAAAAAAAAATGTACGAAAGTGTCACGTAATAGTTGGCGCGAATGGAGTCGGCTTGTGTGTTAAGAGAAGGCTTGATGTCCTTTATGTATAACATCTGGTCGACTAAGCAATCAAACTTGCTGTTACATTTCTTCAGAACTTTGAAAAGATGGTCAGCCTTTGTTCTGTTGTTGCTATGCTGTGTTTCAAGGTGTTTGCCGATGGCTGAATAACGGTGTTCACTTATGCGTTGATGTAAGTGTCGGGCAGTGTAGCCGACATAATTTGCATCGCACAAATCACATTGAAATAAGTATACAACGCACTGAGTGTTGACGATCGGGGGCTTGTTTGCCTTGACACTCATGAGGGTTTGTGAGTAGACAGTTTTCTGCTTGTAAAGACGGGTTTTTCGTTAACATCGATCTTGACTCCCAGAGAATAGATATCTTTGCGTATCTTTGCTCGAGCAAAGTGTTAAGCTCAGCCGGCTCATAATTTTCTATTTCATCAGTAGTTTCCTTATCTACGCACCAATTCTTCCAAACAGGAGCCAAAAACAAGTGCTTTTCGCAGTGTTTTCGTTTTTAGAGCGGTTTTTTTTTCAGCTCCTCTACAGTTGTTTCGGTCGCAAAAGCAAAGGTGCTGCAAACGCCAACCATTGTGGTTTTTGCTCGAAACTGGTCAGGAGCGGATCCAAATTTTGCGCCATTTAGATGGCGCATTTGATTGGCTCTCAGTGATTTCCTTTGTTTATTAACCAATCAGAATGTCAAGTTTGTTACTGTTTTCTACGCTAAATTATCTTTTTTCTGCACTCAATTACCTTTTTTCTGCACCTTGTTACCTAAAACCTGCATTTCTTTTAGCCAATCACAATCGAGAAATTTTTTCATGTATATAGTCCAATAAAAGCCTCTAGTTTTATTTTATGCATGACCATCATTATTGCTGAACAAGCTGACTTCTTTCACCCTTTTCTAATTGTTTTTTCCCCTCCCTATTTCTGTAGTTTTCTCTGACTCCTCTTCATCTTGCCTGTTGGTATGGACAGGAATCTGTTGTCCGGTTGTTACTAGAGCATGGTGCGAACGTCAAAGCTAAAGACAGGGTGAGTTAGTGAGTTTTTTTCTATTGAACAATGATGGGGAGCATTATTTGAAGAAAGATCATCGCAGTTTTATACGCAATTTTTGCAGTTGCGAAAAGAAAGCCTGAAAAAAATTCAGGCTTGTACGGGATTCGAACCCTTCATCTCTGTGATACCGGTGCAGCGCTCTACCAATTAAGCTAACAAGCCAACTGGGAGCAGGTCGTTGAATTGGTTCGTTATAAACCCGTGGAAAGAAGGTTGATGAAGTTATGAATATATGAAAATCATATATTCGTAACTTCAATGATAGGGAGCGTAAACAACAACGATGGCGACGTCAACGAGAACGGCAAAAAAGCGAAAGGTTTATTAAGCAAATCATAGCCTCTGGGAGGAGACGTTTTATGCTTAAAGGTCGTCATTAGATTTTGTTACACAGCAATTAATTTAGCTCACGCTACAAAACGTATGTCCAGGGCTGTGGTAAGCAACGCATGATACTCTGCTTAAATGTTTTTAGTTTCAACGTACACCTCTGCAAAAAGCTGAACGTCAAAACCACCCCTCCATAGTGCAGTTGCTGCTGAAGAATGATGCTAGGCCAAGTCTTCATCAACCAGTAAGATATCAGATTTTGTCAGTCTTCCCTAATCCATTTTGCCAAACGTCGTCTTTCAGATGGAGTTCTACCTAATTTGTTGAACGTTACCTTTTCATCATCGTACGAGTCGCTTCTATCTTTTAGATACCTTATATTGTTGTCATTTATGGAATTACTTACCCGGGAACCTTAGAACTGAAGACCTAAGCCTGTCTTTCATAAAAAAACGTTGCGGAGATTTTTACAAAAAAAAATAGCCTGCGAGCAAGCTCTCCGGAGCACTCTGGCGGCTGGGCGGCAATGGAAGAAGAGCTTGCAACTACGTCTCTGGAATTTGAATATCTGCATCGAAATTTTCGATGCGAAATGCTGATTGGCGGAGATGACATTCCTAATGACGTCATTGCCCTTGGCACTTGTTTTTGAATATTGTTTACATTCGCGCTCGTTTCCGCTTCGCGCTTATTGGCGGAAATCTGACAGCTCAATCTACGGGGAGCCACAGGGAAATTGGAGGTGGAATTCAAATTCCAAAGACGTAGTTGCGAGCTCTCCTTGCTTTTCCTGCCCCGCCGCCAGAGCGCCCCGGAGAGCTTGCTCGCACGCTACAAACAATAAGATTAGGGAGGTTGATTCTTATCGCCCACATGTTACCTGGGCATAAAAATCATAGCGTAGTCTCAAATCATAATTATCAGTTTATATGTTACTTTTTGTGACAACTTTTTTTTCTTTTCTGTTTTTTTTTTTACATTGTAAGTTAGATTTCAATTGAGTCAGGATTAGCTCGTATGGTTCTTCTGTTCTAGCTTGTTCTAAACTAGTCGTTCCCCGTCGCTCTCCACGTGTATGCAGTGAAAATCGATTAAATTCAAATTAAAAATTTAAAAATCTAATTCAAATTAAAATGTGTCTATTTGCGATACACGGGAACACTATTACTGCGTTTTTCAAAAACACGCAAACTCCTGAATTTCAAAAGCCGCCTACACAATTAAGTTTTTGGCTGCCGTCAATCATAATTCCAATCACAAGCAACGACCTTGAATCACAGAAATATACAGCCTCGTACCCAGGCCAGTTCGCGCTATCCGAGTTACCAGAGGAGGCTTGGAACCGATTGCGATAGTCCTCGGCGAATTTTCCGGGCAAGCTCGTCCGAAATAGCCGAGGACGACTGGGAACGAGGCTGAGAAATATACACAAAACGGATCGAAATCCACCAATCACAAATCACAGACCATTGAACCCATTGAAGTTAACTTCTGTTTTCTAAGAGGCACCGAACTGAACCGCAAACGTCAGTTGACTTTTGAACTTCAGAATTCGCGTGTTTATGAGAAGCGCAGTAATCGGTTATATTGCAAAAAGGTACTTTTAAGCATTAGAGTCTAATGAAAACCATCTTCATTATTTTCGCTCATGAACGTATCATTTTTATTATAGGTCAGTCTAAGGAAACTCTCGAGAAAAGCTTTCTTGCAAGTGGATAAACAATCTGGATTTAATCTGCTCCAGGCTGCTGTCTTAGACGGAGACTACAACATTGTTTTAAATGCTCATGGCCTTCTTGACAAAATTGTAGATGAGATGGAACTTGTAACAACGGGAAATAACGCCAAAGAATTTCCAGGGAAGACCGCAGTTGACATCTTATCTCTTATACAGATAAGAAAGCCAAGTCATCATAGAATCGAAAGACTTTATGACAAGTGGGCTAAGGACAACAGCAGACTGACTAAACTGCAGTGGACTACATGTGATGATGATGTGGAACAGGCAGTTGAGTTTGTATTAAATGACGGTGTAGATATTAATGCCCCAGGGTCAAACAATGATTGGACAGCTTTGCTGAGGGCGAGTCGTTCATCCTCAAGTCAGTTCATTGAGACTCTCATTGATCTTGGAGCAGACGTTAATGCTCAAAGAAAAGAGGGAAAAGAAACTCCTTTAACATTAGCAGCTGACTGGAACAACTACATGGCAGCGTCCTTGCTTGTAAGTCATGGAGCTGATGTAAACGTACAGATTAGTAATGGGTTCACAGCACTGCACTTATCAGTCAAAAAAATCACGAAAATCTCATCAGATTATTACTTGCAAACAAAGTGGATGTAAATATTCAAGATAAAGATAAAGATACACCAATGTTCCTGTCAGTCCGGAGAAATGACGAAATCCTCGTCAGATTGTTTCTTGAACATAACGCAGATGTAAATATGAAAGATTATTCTGGAGATACACCCTTGCGTTGGTGTGTCAGAGAGGGTAACGAAAACCTCTTTAGATTGTTACTTGAACACACCGCGGATGTAAATATGAAAGATTATGCTGGAGAAACACCCTTGCGCTGGTGTGTCAGACAGGGTAACGAAAACCTCTTTAGATTGTTACTTGAACACAACGCGGATGTAAATATGAAAGATTATGCTGGAGAAACACCCTTGCGCTGGTGTGTCAGACAGGGTAACGAAAACCTCTGTAGATTGTTACTTGAACACAACGCGGATGTAAATATTCAAGATAGACTGGGATATACACCCTTGCACTGGTGTGTCAGAGAGGGTAACGAAAACCTCTGTAGATTGTTACTTGAACACAACGCGGATGTAAATATTCAAGATTATGCTGGAGAAACACCCTTGCGCTGGTGTGTCAGACAGGGTAACGAAAACCTCTTTAGATTGTTACTTGAACACAACGCGGATGTAAATATGAAAGATTATGCTGGAGAAACACCCTTGCGCTGGTGTGTCAGACAGGGTAACGAAAACCTCTGTAGATTGTTACTTGAACACAACGCGGATGTAAATATGAAAGATTATTTTGGAGATACACCCTTGCAATGGTGTGCCAGAGAGGGTAACGAAAACCTCTGTAGATTGTTACTTGAACACAACGCGGATGTAAATATTCAAGATAGCCTGGGATGTACACCCTTGCACTGGTGTGCCAGAGAGGGTAACGAAAACCTCTTTAGATTGTTACTTGAACACAACGCGGATGTAAATATTCAAGATAATCATGGATATACACCGCTTCACTTATTAGTTCGTGAAACTTATATATTTAACGGTGAGATAATCGATCTCCTGGTGACGTATGGGGCTCAAAATATAGACATCCGTGACGCAGAAGGCAGAACTCCTCTTCAAATGGCAGTGAAATGTGGTAACGCGCAAGCTGTGAAAAAGCTCATTGACCATGGAGCTGATGTTAGTGTGGTTGAAGCCGAGGAGACTGATGCCAGAAGACTGAAACGCTTAAAGAATAAAGCTGAAAAACTCACAGAGTCTCATCCCAAATCAGAGAAAATCCTGAGGCAAACCACCCCCTCGTCTACATATACAACAGAGGAAATAGAGGAAGAAGAGGAAGCTGAACAAAGGAAAACCCTGGCAGTGAGGCACCACAAAAAAAAGGCGACTACATCTTCAAGAACAAATAACTGCGTAATGGCTTGAATATTAAGATTTTTCAGAGTTGTATTTTTGAGAAAGGCCCGGCTGTTTAGTCCGTAAAAGAGAAGAGTTTACTCCTATTAAGCTAACATTAAACTAGTTTGTACAAGATTAATAACAAAATTGACGAGAGTAACTATAATCCTCAATGTTAATTTGAAAATTGTAAAATCGACGCTGTTACAAGAGCTTTAACCGACGTTTTGGCACTGCTGCCTTCTTCAGGGTGCAAAAATATACACCGTTAAGGTGGCTCCGTAATTAATACAAGAGCATTTAGCTGTGACAAATTTTCCGTCATAACTTTTTGGTTTTTAACGCGATGGCTGCGAAACTTTGCAAAGAACAACAGATATCATTCGGCAATAACACGAAATATTCCGATTTCATTGATGGTAAATATTTCTTGAGAAATTAGCGCTTTAAAGGACCCTACTGTTCAAAGAAAATCGCGTCTAGTAAAAACTTTGCTGATATTTTTTACTGAAATTTCTGGTATCGGCTTTAATTGATATAATAAATATGCCAGAGGAATTTCAGAAAAATCATTGGAGCAGAAGTCCGAAACTAAAAGTCGCTCAAAATTCAGCTGTGAAATTGTTTTGGAATTTCAAAAATAAATTACTATCGGGTAGAAGGAGCCACCAGTTTGAATTTTCGTGACAAGTAAATTCAACGTTTTCTAATTCTTAAAACAAAAAGCCGATTGCCTATCGTGCTATTCTTTAAAAAGGTACTGTTTAGTTGTAGAAGCACTATAAATTGCTCCAAACCTTGCTCTGAGGTAGAATTACTTGTTCTTCGACATTTTTAAAATATACCATGGCAGTTTTGGTTCAAACTCCTGCTGCATACATTTTGATGTATTGCAATGCATTTTCAACGACTTTTACTGCTGTTCGTTGCTTCCAACTCAGGAAAAAAGTATTGAGATTGGACGCTACCTCGTACCAGAGCTCAGATAGAACTGTCCAGCACCTTTGTTTATGACTACAAAATGAGCACGAGCGGCAGTTCTGCGTGGAATTCGCACCTCACACAGGGGGGACGAACGACATCGATGACCATGCCTGTGAACCGAATAACATCACAGTCCAAAATAAAATTATCGCAAAAATACTGCCCGTGAATAAATTTACAACCCTGGAATTTTTGTCACTCCTTCCCTCAATGAATGGGTATTTTTTTCTTGATTATTATGTTTTGCTCTGCAATACATGTTTATACAGATCGGTTCACAGACATGGGCATCATTGTCATTCGTCCCCACCTGGCTGAGGTGCGAATTCCTCGCAGAAGTGCCGCTCGAGCTCATTTTCTGGTCATAAACAAAGGTGCTGGACAGTTCTATCTGAGCTTTGATACAAGGTAGCTTACAATCCCAATACCTTTTTCCTGAATTGGAAACAACGTACAGCAGGAAAAGCCGTTGAGGATGCATTGCAATACATCAAAATGTGTGCAGCAGGAGTTTGAACCAAAACTGCCAAGGGATATTTTAAAAATGTCGAGGAACAAGGACAACAAGTCATTCGACGTCAGAGCAAAGTTTTGGAGCAATTTATAGTGCTTCTAAAACTGAAAAGTACCTTTTAAAGAATAGCACGATAGGCAATCGGCTTCTGTTTTCAGAATTAGCAAACACTGAATTTACTTGTCCCGAAAATTCAAACTGGTGGCTCCTTCTCGCTGATGGTAATTTATTTTTGAAATTCCAAAACAATTTCACAGCTGAATTTTGAGCGACTTTTAGTTTCGGACTTCTGCTCCAACGATTTTTCTGAAATTCCTCTGGCATATTTATTATATCAATTAAAGCCGATACCAGAAATTTCAGTAAAAAATATCAGCAAAATTTTTTACTAGACGCGATTTTCTTTGAACAGTAGGGTCCTTTTAAGCGCTAATTTCTCGACAAATATTTACCATCAGTGAAATCGGAATATTTCGAATTATTGCCTAATGATATCTGTTGTTCTTTGCAAAGTTTCGCAGCCATCACGTTAAAAACCAAAAAGTTATGACGGAAAATTTGTCACAGCTAAATGCTCTTGTATTAATTACGGAGCCACCTTAAAAAGATCGAAATAGTTAAAAATGTAATCGCGCACGTGAGCTACGTAATTTAACGAACTTTTCCAAGGGAAACCTTTAAGTGGAGTATATTCGTTTTGTCCCCCGAAGAAGGCGGCATTGCCGAAACGTCGGTTAAAACTCTTGTAACAGAGGACGTACTTCGAATTTCAAATGTGTAGTGTAGATCGGTTTTAAGGACAGTCAACTCCCTTTATAGCGTACACTGTAGGGACGTCCGGTTAGTCACGGTCGATCTTATAAGTGAGAGTCCGTAATAACGGGAGTTTTTTTTAGTCCGACATCTGTAATTTATTTTGCATGTGATTTAGTTACTGTCCGTATTATCGAGGTGTCTGTTATTGCGAGAGTCCACAAGGCTAAAGTTGACTTAAAAGAATTTTTGAAAGTAATTACCATAAAATTTTGAAATTATAACATAGCTGGAATATTCGTGTAGCTGATTGAATTGTTATTCGATAGTATCAGTGTGCTTCATATTCCCATTGAGCACGCTGGTGACGTCAACAAACTGCTACTTCAAGTTCTTAAGAGCTTAGTAATCCTCCCAAGAGCATCCATGACTCAATAGTACACGATAAAGCGTTTAAGATCTTGTCTTAGATGTCTCAGATGATCGCGTCATTGAGAGGTGACACTAAGCCGTTAGCCTTGTCTCCTTCATCCTTTCTTAACATTTGGAAGGGACAACGTAACAGAACCCTCATTGGTATTCGAAAAGAGTAGAAAAAGCAGACCCCACCAGTGGTGTGGTCTATCTCTCATGTAGCCTGTGTACAGAACCCCCTCCGCTCAGGAAAAATCGGATTTTTCCTGAGGGGAGGGGTAGTCTGTCGTGAGGATAGGGAACTGTTAGGGGCTCGCAGTAATTGGGGTCATGCTGTTGAGGCATAGTTAGTTACTAACTATGGTTGAAGTGACTCCGCCAAAATTGTCTAATCTAAATAAATGAATAAACATGTAAATTACACATGGTTCGTTATATAATGTTATGGCGGCACTATTCTATGAGCTTCGTGTTAGAAAAAATACCGATAAGATTATTTTTATGCCGGCAAAATCATCTTGCCTGGTTAATTAGACATCGTACTAATAATTATTGCTATTTTTACTAGATTTGTTCTGGGTTTGGCAGCACTTTAATAACCGGGGGCTATTTCATTGTAATAAGCTACTGAGTTTCGGGGTTTCCAAGAGGAAAGCAAATTCGCAAACCACTGACAACTTCTACCTCCACCTGGTCAGACATCTAAGCGCGTTTTCCAAAAAGTTTCATTTGCGGGGATTTTATTTACAGTTAAGTTGTCACCTCTACTAAATATGTTGACACAGAGAAACGATGCACGAAATGACAAGTTAACTGCAACGATAACAGAGCCGTTTTTGTTTTTAAACAGTAAGTACTTTTTTGTAGGCTTTCAGGAAGTTCAGCAAAATCAGCAGCGATTGGTAATTGTTCACAGTGAAGCAGCAACCCCAGTTTTGATTTACTTTGCTTAGGGTTTTCATAACTCGTTTGACTGCTGGGAAACCATCCTCCCCTCGTCTCGTCCCACGTTGCAGCTGTAGCTGAAGTTCAAAGCTGGAAGTCTTCGTCCGTGGCAGGCGAAGTCGAGCATCCACACTTTTATCATTTTTTGCCACTGAAGAGACTTCCAAGGATATTTAGAAACGATGAATAAAGTAATTAGATTCAAATTCAAATTCAACTTTAGTGCTGCGTCGGTGGGGTGAAATGCTTTCATCAACTGAGTTGACAAATTCAATGTGACCGTAAAGAGATTTAAAAATTAACTTTTCGACCCCAGTTTATCAGAGCAAAGGAATGATGGGCTGTGTGTGGTTTAACAAGAACAATAGACCTTATTCACGATACCCGCCATCTTTGCACGCGCTCTAAGATCGATGGGATGAAAGCTATGTCACGTGGTATTTCAAGGAGCAAACAAGTGACAAAATTTGCCAATACGAGTAATCGCGGCCGAGTTTGTTTATTCTATCAAACGAGACGACGATTTTATAGTTACTCAAAGTGTTGGCAAGATTTACGTCATTACCGTTTGACATTGGGACATTTACAGTCGCTAGTGCATATTGTAAAGTAACAATGATCACTTCCACCCATATTTTGACATTATCGTCTTTAAGATGAAAAGGTCTTCATTTCCTGTTGTCTAGGATAAACAAACTCAACCGCGATTTCTTCCACTGGCAATTTTTTATACTTGTTTGCCTCCTGAGAAACTAACAACCTCGTCCCCGGGGCTGGCGGGTATCGTGAATAAGGTATATCTAGCTGAATGAAAAGCGGTCATTTACTCCATGGGGACAAAGAATAATGATTTTAAAAAGATGAATTATTGTTCTTGATTAAGGCGACTTTTTGTACCGGGGGGGGGTAATCCTTATGATGGCCTATACCCGACGGGAGGCTCCCCGAAAGGGGTACCTTTTTTTCAGACTTCAGGTATAGGAAAGGGTAGGGATTTCACTGGTTGAAGTATATAAAAGGATAGAGAAATCTGTCATTTGGGTCTGTGAAAGGGCCCAAAACGGCTAACAGATGAATTTTATGGCCTGAAAACGTCGGGAAACGTTCTATTTTGTGATTAATTCTTATTTAAAAGACAGTACATTTACAGCGATTAAAATGGTATATAAATGGTTGAGTACCCCCAGGTTTTCGTGTTGCACTGGATTGCGAGGTATAGACCTCTTCAGCTTGTTTGTTTTGTTTTCCCAATAGAGGTCCCAGGGGAACTTGACACTTTTGTGCGTACATATGCACGTGAACAAGACGAAATTTGAAAGAAACAATTCTCAAGAGTGTGACCACATGACCTGTATTGAGAAAACAAAACATACAAGCTAAAAAGGTCTATTAGAGAGGTTAAGCATCACGTGACGTA